CAAAAGACAATGTACCAGCTGAAATAAATCTTTCTTTCAAGGCCACCCGAGGCACCAGAGCCAAGCTGGTCATTAGGACACCCCAGGCATTTTCTGCACATTAATTAAAGGAGCAACAGTGTTGTAAAAAGAATACAGCAGGGAACTGGAAAATCCAACCAGTTCTTCCTGGGGAACTGAGGCCCAACTTCAGGACTTGGTTTTATAGTTTAGATGCTAAAGAGCAAGGGAAAAAGTCTGCTCTGCTTCAGCAGCAGTTTTTCCACACGTTCTTTGTGTTTTAGAGAGGTACTGCAGTCACATTACTGTTTAAATTTAAAGAAAAACATGTATCATGTTGGATATTTGTGACACCCTTGAATAATTTCTGAAGAAGTCAGAAAGAAGTCACAGATTTCCTTTGGGGACAAGTTGGCTCTTACAGTCTTCCAGTTACTTGAAAAACTAAAATGCAGACCAGTAGTAAGGCTGCAAAACTAAACCTGCAAATAACTGTTAAAATGCAGCACATTATTTTAAACCTCGATAGCCTTGAGATAGTTGAATTCTGGTGATGGCAATTCCAGTTCACATGTTTTTAATTCTGATTTCCTCAGTGTTCTGTTACCTGCAGTAGGATTAATTATCAAGCATGTAAATGAGAGCCAGGCCTGCTGTGGTACAGGCACAGGAACTGCTGTGCTGCCCTAATAAAATACTGAATAATTGGTCTGTAATGGAACAGAGATGTTGAGGCTCTTAGTGGGGCAGAACAGTATTTCTGGAAATTAGTATTTCTAAATTTGCTTTAAGGGCACACACACACTCTCAGATGTTCCTACTCTGTGTAGGGTTTTAATTTAAACCAAAATCTTAACTGCTGTACAGCTTCACTGTGATCCAGGCTGGAACTGTTCGGGATCCAGGGTTTGTGAAGCTGGGCCATGTGCAGCCTGGGCCTGTTTGGTGTGGGAGCTGCACTGGCATTGTTTCCCCCTTATTTCATGATCTGCCTTTCTTTGGAAGCAGAAGGTTCTTCAGTGGGTTATACTGGATGGGACAGACATTTAAGGTAAACATAAGTTCAGCTGCGGAGGCAGCAGGAATGGGCAGGATTTTGTGGTGCTTTCCAGGAGGTGGAATTCTGAATTCACACTAGGATTGCTGAACAAAATGGGAAGTAATGGAAAGCAGAATTTGGGGATGTGCTCACAGAGAGTAAGGCACAGGGCTTGAGAAATGCTGTGGTTCAGACAAACCCCTGCAGAACTCACACCTGATGACAAGGATTTTCCTGGATTGTTAGACTGAGACAAACCTGGGCTGGGTGACTGCTGGACACAGGAAGGGGGCACTCAGAAACGTTTAACTTTCCTCAGGAAAAGTCTGGAAGGGCAGAAAGAGTCTTGGACTGTGGTGTGACAGCCCTGAGTCCCAATACTACACCAAACCCAGGGTACCACAGCCAGTTTTCCACAGCAGAATAAAACTGTGCCAGCCTTTGGTGTCTGGCTCTGTAGATGATGGCACAGCATCACCTGCACAGTTGCAGTGAAGCTCCACTTCCATGAAGCAGAGCAGCAGGAAAGGGACAGCTTTGTGGTCTGTGATGAACATAGCTCCTTGGTTTGTACTTTGCAGTGAGAAATGGGTGTTTATATCCAGCTGGGCTGTAGTGTGTTCCTAATTTAGCATTAAAGCTGTAAGTCACTGTCCTTTCCTGTAGATTAGTTCTCTGAACCAGGGTTTGTTCATACTGTGTTTCCTTTAATGTCACCTTGGAAAGATTCCTTGGTGTGTCTTACATTGTGTAAGTACATCATGCAAAGGGTCAGCCTGTGTTCTGTGTGCACTGAGTCCACGCTTCCCTCATTTAATCAGAGAGCCTGGTAAAGATCTCCCACTGTCAATCACTAAGGAAGTGCTGCTTGTCAGGTACTCTGCTTTTGCTGGGAAGACCTTACAGGGAGTGGTTATCCCCCTTGGCAGATGGAATGATTGTATGGATATACCCTTTAACAGAAATTTGGTAATCACTCTGCCCTGAAATTTGTGGAAATCACACAATGACTCAGTGTCTGCTGTGCCTTTGTGCCCTTACCCATCATTGAGGAGTTTAGAGTGTGGGGTCCACTCTGAACCTTGTGATGGAACCTCAGTGGGAGGCTATTCCTTCATCTCTGTGTTCTGGGGTCTCTGTGTGGATCACTCTACCTCAGTTCCAACTCTTTGTATGTCCTTGTCTTTGTTTTTTTCCATGCAGTAATTAGTCAGGTGAACTGTGCCATCAAACTCACTGCACCTTGTCAGACTAATGTGAAACTTTGTTAAATTCCATCAAATTTATTGAACTATAATTTGGCCTCAATCAAAGATCCTGCTGCTCCCTCCTGAGTGAGGTGCATTGCACTCACCCACAGCAGGAGGGACCCGAACTGCAGTTTGGGGCAGGTCTGGCATTGTGTGACAGCAGGGCAGGGGTTCCAGTTTCAAGGAACAACAGAGAGCAAACTGGTGGAAATTTCCTGGTGGAAATGCCTTTTCCCAGTGCACCCTTAACAAAACAAACCAGCCATTTGTTTGGACTTAACCAGAAGGCAGGGAAGTGCCACAGGTCATTGCTCCAAGTTCAGGTGAGGTGAGATACCCACCCTGATCATCCCCACCCCACAGTCTGTTGCACCTAAAGCTCAACCAGCTTTCTTGATGCTCTTTCAAGCCTCAGCTTTTTGTCTGGCTGGCTGTCTGGGATCATGTTGGCACTTCTCTCTGCTCTCAGCATCACTGAAGGACACTGTTCCCTGACCCTCTGCAGCCCAGCCTGGGTGATGTTCCTGCAGAAATCCACGTGCAGGGTGTGCAGGGCCCCCCCGTGCAGGGTCACGGCCTGCAGGCTCCGGTCCGTGATCCGCACACAGTTCTCCAGCTTGAGTGTCCTCAGCTTGGGGCAGCTCCTGAGGAGCAGCAGGATGGAGTCATCTGTGACATGGCCACATCCAGACAGGGTCAGGGACAGCAGGTTTGGACACCTGGAAACATGATGGCAACAGGTGAGATGATGGGAGAAATAAATCCTAGAGCTTGGACGAGCTGATACTGTCAGGAGTAAATATGAACTCTGGAAAAACAGCTCTTCAGCGGGAGGGGTAAAAAGGCACGGGTGGGGGGGACACATGTACATCTCAGTCTTTACAAAGCTTAACCATCTTTGCCTTTTGTGTTGGTAGCAACACCTCCAGCTCAGCTGGCACTGGAGCGGGGGCTGTGGAGGCCTCTCTGAGCTGCAGCTCCATTGGTTTTTCTTAGGGAGTTGCCAGGTGCAGTGAGGCACAGGAGTGAAGACCCAGGAGAGAGAAGATTTATTTCAGGAGAAAGGTGAGGACACCTGAGGGAAGAGACTGCTGTATGTGGTCAAGTAGGACACTCCAACTCTGGATTTTCAGGAATTATGAGTCTGTTTGAGCTCCTTGGATTTACTGAATGGGTGCCAGCTGCTACCTGAGAGTGTTGATGTTTGAACCCCAGGCAGGTCTTAAATTCTCCTTTGAGTCACTGAAACTGGTAAGAACTCCACTCTCAAACAGGGATGCAGGAAATGAAAAAAGCTTAATTTCGTGCTGCTCGGGGAGCCCTGGGCAAGCACAGGAAAGGCTGTTGCTGCCTTCCACTGGCTGTCCTTGAGCCAGACCTGGAGCAGCTCTTTGTGCTGACCAGGCAGGGACCCCTGTGCCCACCCTGCAGTGTCTGGTTCCTGCTCACACCTCTCCAGGCAGCGGCAGCTCAGCAGCATCTATTTAGCTAAACACAGCCTCCATGAGCACAGTCATGGACAGAACAGGAGCCCCTTCCATCCTGTCAGAACTGTGGTGTGCCCAA